AACCCTAACCATTCTATGATTCTATGATTGGGGGCAGGCTTTGTTTTTTTAATATAGTTTTACTCTTTGACAGACATACTCTTCTAGAAGAGATCCAGACACACCTTGAATAGTACAAAGTAGCATCTGTTTGTATATAAGCTTTCCCTAGGGAAAATTTAAGCAATTAAATGATGTATTTTTTAACACAGCTGTATCATTACAGTTCTTAACTATTGGTCTTCATCATTTACATTTCTAGTAAATGTTCACCTCTTCTCTCCTAATTGCCCTTACATGTTTTAGAAGAAAACATGGTTTAGTAGTGAAAATGAATTGTGCATTGGAAGATATGTAATTTTAAATAGGTTATTTAATATGGGTTTGTGTTTTGCTACTGAATTCTGTGTTCCGTAAGCGTGGTAAACACAGGCTATTTCCTGATATCAGGTTCTGATTTCAAGAATTTGGACTGTAATTTTGAGTTGCAGTATTACAGTTAATTTGTTTTCTTATTTTTACAGCCATCAGAGGACATTTGTTCTGGAGGTTATGGGGAGACACTGTGGGTATGTATTGTCTTCAGCAGTTTGTATCTTGTACAGATATAATTATGTAAGATCAAGAAATCTGAACCGTAAATGTCTGATCATTTGTTATGTTTTTTAGGTATCTAGCTCTTGTTAGTGCCTTAGCCTGTGGTGCAGATTGGGTATTTATTCCTGAATACCCACCAGAAGAAGGCTGGGAAGATTCAATGTGTGTTAAGCTTTCAGAGGTAATCTATTACTATGTTTGGAATTCCCTGATGTCTTTGCAGATGTTTGCTTGAAAACAATGATTTAAAAATGTGATCAGGACTTTAAGCAAGTCTTTGCTTGTGGCGTCACAAATAGTACTATTTGAACTTAAACAGTTCTTTTCCTGCATTCTGAGGTTGTTTTGAAGAATTATATGACCTACTCTAGGGATTACATAAAATTATTCATATACAAGCAGTGTGTGTACCTTTCCATGTTGATTAGATATAGGACATTTCACTTCATCAATGAAAAGACCTGTATGAAGGTAAAACATATAAGAGCTCTGAAGTGATCAAGTATAAGAAATGTTTCATCAAATCCTAGCAGCTTAATGTATAGCAATTGATCATAGAATTGTGCTGTAAACTTCTTTATTTTTTTTTATTATGTGTGTGCTTTTATTTGCATTATAGAATCGTGCACGAAAGAAAAGGCTGAATATTATTATTGTAGCTGAAGGAGCTATTGATTGCCACAACAAGCCTATAACATCAGAGAAGGTTAAGGATGTAAGTATTGGCATCCTTGTGATGCACTTTCTGTTTTGTTTTTAAGATGAGGCTTGTTACTAACAATCACATTTCTGTAAAGTAAATCTCTTCTGTAAAGTAGCTTATCACACAGTTTGCTGGTTGTATTTTATATTTGTGCTTTATTATCTGAATCCATCATCCACTTAAGGGGGAATTATTTCAGTGGCTGTTAATTAGAACCTTTTTTTCCTTGTAATATAAGACAACGTCCAAAACACCTACTTCATGGGTATCTTAATTGATAGAGTCTGAAATCGGCTCAAATCAGTAATGATAATCCTATTTTACTTTATATTTCTTGTAAAATTTTAATAATAGACTGTCTCACAGTGCAATAATACTGTCTACTTTGGACAAAGTCTTGTCACTTTTTTTCTAAATAGTTGCTTTGCCAAAAATTTCGTTGGTGTTTAAGATTAAGAAAATTGTTCTGCTTTTCCTGGAAAGGGTCTCTTAAGAAAAGTTGAAAAATAGTCATTGGCAGGAGGGAGCTATGGACACTTTGAGTTTACCTGGAGTTTATCTGTCCTGTGAATATGAAGTTTTGTTTGCCATAGCTGTCATTTTTAGAGTAATCTTTGACTCAATTCAGAATTGGAGTTGTACGAAGTAAAATTTAGCACCAAGTGGTGTTAAGGGTACATTCAACAGATAACTGTTATGCATTTATGTAAGAAATATTACTTGCTACAAACTCGGACAGTTAAAACATAAAAAATCAATAAATACCAGGGATAGAAGATTTTGTAAATAACTTCTAAATTTGTTTTTTCCGGTGTATGGTGTCTAGTACTTATTCCTAAACTTACATGCTCACTGAAGATGTGTTAATGAAGCATGTCTTTCCGTGACTTTAGATTTGATATGTAACAGAGGAAATGGAAAGAAAGTTTGACTGAATTAAATAATTTTATTATTACACTTTTAACTGTAAGTTTTAAAAGCCTTTTCAATTAAGATTAAAAGTCATCTTCACTGAAGTTTTACTCAGAATCTTTTGGCATGTGTAATCTTGCAGATAGATGAAGCATGGAATCAATAAAACACTGTAATTGAACTTCTTTCACGTATTCTAATTGTAGTGTTTAGACCTGTTTTTATAATGAGGACTGTTCTCAGTGAAGCTGTTATAACTACAGTTAAAGCATTGCAATCTAAGCCACTGTTTTGCCATTATTAAATAGAATGTTCCTTTAGAGTAGAAATGTGGAGTTTAGTTTTAGATTAGCAATAAACTAAAGACTGGCTTAATTTTATTGTATTTTCATTACTGGTGACATATTAAGGTATAGTATATGCAGAATTTTAGTATTCCAGTAGCACATAAAGCAGAGTAATGCTGATATGTGCATATATAAATTAATGATGATAAGAAAACCACTATATTCTTAAATTCCTTGCAGCTTGTGGTTCAGCGGCTTGGTTTTGACACACGAGTAACTATCTTGGGCCATGTGCAAAGGGGTGGAACCCCTTCAGCTTTTGACAGGATTTTGGTGAGTGAACCTAAAATAGTCATGGCAACACATAGTACAACTACATTTTGATTATTTGTTTGGAGGTGGGGTGGTTCTTTGCCTGATTAACTTGACAAATCCAATTATTATCTCACATTAACTGTCTGAATAGTTCTAATTCGGACTAGTGAAGCATTTCATGTAAAGAAATCTGTATTATCATAGAATGGTTTGGGCTGGAAGGGACCTTAAAGACTATCTAGTTCCAACACCTTCCATTAGATCAGGTTGCTCAAAGCCTCATCCAACCTGGCGTTGAATACCTTCAGGGATGGGGTATCCACAACTCCTCTGGGCAACCAGTGTTTCACCACTCTCATTGTAAAAAATTTCTTCCTTACATCTAATCTAAATCTCCCCTCTTTCAGTTTAAAGCCATTACCCCTTGTCCTATCACTACATGCCTTTGTAAAAAGGCGTAATCTTCAGGATTAAAAAGCAAAGCTGCAAGAACAATAGGCCATACTTAAGGGTATTAAGCAGCCTGTGACATTTTCACCTACCAAGGAATATTTGATTTCAGCTTGATTTACAGAGAAATCATAACTGTTTCTGTGATTGGAAGCCTTGTGCTTTTACGTGCTTGCTTGAACAGTCAAACATTATCTGTTTTCAGGCAAGTCGTATGGGTGTGGAAGCTGTACTTGCCCTCTTAGAAGCTACTCCAGCTACCCCTGCCTGTGTTGTGTCCCTGTCTGGTAACCAGGCTGTCCGTCTGCCTTTGATGGAGTGTGTACAGATGGTGAGTTTCTGGCAAAAAGCCAGTTCATAGTTAGTCATTAACTACAACAGACCACTGTGTCCAATAATTGTCTGTTGTCATTAAAACACTGATGGGAATGTGTGCACCACTTTACTGCATTTGGGAATAACGAACTTCAGGTGTGTTCTCTGTGTGTTATTACTTATTTGTGAACTACCAACAAACAAGAAATATATATATTTTGAATTTATTTTAAAATTGCAGCTCAGTTATTCTATTTTTATTGCTTTAACAAATTCTTCAGATGTTTGCATCCATTTACACATCGTACACAAGATTAGGGTCTCTGCATTAAAACTGTTCAGCTTAAACTGAAAAAAGAAAACACAAAATAGAGACATTGATTTCCCCCCACCTCAGAAGGCTTTAGTTGTTTGCCTCTACTTTCTTTTTCTCCTGTCCACTGTAACTTTTGCTGTGATAAGAGGTAGCTCATAAATTAATGAAATGTCAATATTACTTTTTTCATTTTGGAAAGCTGTTTCAGAATGACCTCTTTACTGGAATATATTAAATAATCAACTTCCTGTGTTTTTAAAACATATTGAATAATCAACTTTCTCTTTCAAGACTCAAGAAGTCCAGAAAGCTATGGATGAGGGAAGATTTGTTGAGGCTGTGAGGCTTCGTGGAAGGTATGGCCAATAACTTATATCAATTTATTTGCTCTGGAAAAGCTGAATTGCTTTGCTGTTCTGCTGATGCTTCACATTTTAATTTAAATAATTTAATATCCATATGTTTTTATGTATTTGAGAATAATAGAAGAGACAGAAGAGTTGCTTAAATAGAATGATTGAAATTCTTATCTGCATGAAAACATGCAAGATGAAGGAAACTGTAATTCAGTACTGTGTCAGACTAGTGACTGATACTAGGCTAACTAGTCACAAAAACAATTGCTGTGTTGTATGAGCTGACTGGTAGCAACCATATGTTTGTTTATTCAAGATTTTGAGGCCAGTTCTGTGAGCTTCTTTGTAAGTAGCTGGTAGTTTTCCAACAGTAACGTTGGAGGGGAGATGTTCTGCACTCCTATGTGTCAATAGAGCATTTTCTGTTTCAAGTAATTTGATAAGAAAATGCTTTATCCTGATCTATAAAACGTAACTTGCCAGCTATGTAGTTATCTTATATTTTGTCAGTGTTATCTTACAGGACTGAGTATTTTTTGCAGTGTTCTGTCATTTCCAGTTTTTATCATGTTTTGCATTTGTAATAACTTTGGTGCTAATATTACATACCTGTTTTTAAATGTTTCTGAAAAATTCAAGTGTTTCTTTAAAATAGTTATGAGTTGAAAAATGTGCTATTATATTTATCTTCCTTACTTCTCTGAATTTCTTATCTTGTTTACTTATTTATTTAGGAGCTTCGAAAACAACCTTAACACCTACAAATTACTGTCACACAAAAAACCAGATGCTGAGCTTCCAAAGGTAAAGGTTTTTTTGGAATGTGCGGTGCGTGTCAGCTTTTGGGGTATCTTACCAAATAGTGGTTTTCTTCTTCTTTCTCCCTAATCTCACCTTAATACTTTCTTCAAACCTATGCCTTAGGATATTTTATAAAATTATTTAAATATTATAATGACGGAAGGATGCTTGCAACACACAACTTTATTCTAATAACTTTTTTTTTTTTTCCTAAAGTGAAATACCATTCTATCTAGAAGATTTTCTGCTAGACAGTTTGTTTCTATCATGGATATATGTCTTGTCCCAATTGCTGTAGTGTCTGGTCCTGATAGTTACTGTTATACCTTCTGTTCCTTAACATGAAGAGAAGGGAAGGTGATGTAATTATGATTGAGAGTCTAAAAATCTCAGGACAAAGAAGGCAGATTGAATATAAAAGAATTCTAGCCCTTCCTTTTGAAGGGCAAAACTGCTCAAGAACAGGGGTAAGTTGGAATTCATGTGATGGAATAGTGAAGACAGATGCATCACATTTACCTGATCTAACAAGTCACTGTGAATAATACACCAGTGGACATTTAGTTCTTCATTTCTTTGCAGTCTGTAAGTTGTGTATAAGAGGAAATTTGGATTTATTAGGAAGTAGACACTAAATGTTATGTGCAAACAAATTTCGGACAGGAGTTTTTTGTTTTCATCAATAGTTTACTGAATAATTCTGATTTTGACCATAGTTGGTGACTGTCACCTCACTGGTTAGTTCCTTTTTAAATTGTGGTTTGTGGCAAATTGTTATCTTATTTGCATGATTATGTTACTGTTGCCTTTTTTTTATTTTTTCCCCAATTAAATATTTGAGTAATGATTAATAATATATTCTCAATATTATTAAGGAGAAGGAGTTGAGTCTGTTGTAACAAGAAAGAAGTTTTTAACAGTATTTCGTAGCTAGGCTGTGTAATTTTTGCCACTTGTGCTGTTCAGTCTATAATACTTACATCCATTTAGATGTAGTTGTTTTACCTAGAGTACAATTGATAACAAAGCAATGTGAATGGGGACTAAATGCATAGGTATGGAATACACATTATATACATGCAATATTTATCATTTCATGCTATGTTTTAAATAGAACCTTCTCTCTTACATTGCCTGTGGTTTACATTACAAATATGTATTTGTTATCTCAGACTTTTTCATTTGAGTATATTATCCACTTACCTAGGATACTCATTACACTTGAGGAGACCTTGTATTTAAGCATAGTTACTTCAAGTCATTAGGAAAGGCTTTAAAAACTGCCATAACTGAAAAATGTATAGTATCGTGAAAGATGCTAAGTGCTCCTGTTTGCTACTATGTTGTCAGTTGCTTTAAAAACCTGATCAATACTTAAATTTAAAAGTTGTTGTGTGTTCCTCTCTGTGTGATACTGATGGTATATACCTAACTGCTATGGTGCTAGAATCGGTTCGTACTTTTTTTTTTGACTATTCTGGGTGTTTTTGAAAAAAAACACTGCTTTGATAATATGAAACTGGTTGAATAATGCAGGGTATTTTATGTTTCTTGAGCCTAGCTGAGCTAGAATATAAAAAACTGAATAACCTAACCTACAAACCAAATAAAAATGTGATAGAGTCTTATTTAAAAACAAACATTATTTTTAAACTGTTTGTTTCTGTGTGATATTCTGCAAATGTGGAAATATGTGTATATATCTTCTAGTTAAGTTTTGGATGGTTTTAGGGACTTTGAAATTTCCTTTCCTACATTCCAATATTTAGCAACTATGTTTGATGGACAAATTAACCATGGTGTAGAAATTAGTGCTTATTAAATATTATTTTTCTCTTGCAGACTAATTTTAATGTGGCTGTTTTAAATGTTGGTGCCCCTGCAGCTGGAATGAATGCTGCAGTGAGGGCTGCAGTGAGAGTTGGCATAACTGAAGGCCATAAAATGTTTGCTGTCATTGATGGATTTGAAGGTTTTGCTAGAGGGAAGGTCAGTATTACATGTGTGGATTACTTAGTAGTATCTACCTCATCCCACAGCACCACCTTTGCTTATGTTCTTAGAAGGTGTATTTTAACTGTTGGGGGAACCGATTCTGTAAGTTCTTTTATTTCATAAAGATATATGAAACCAAATTGTAACTGTATTTCTCAACTATTCAAGTCTATAGATTCATTTATCTTAAGTATTGCTAATCACACGCTGCAGAGCTGCAAAATTAATTCAGATGAACCCTACCTTCAGATTTTGGTCAATGTTTAGCATATGGTAGGTTTTCTACAGAATAACAGAAGAATCACTGATTCTGTGTGATGAGTTGTTGCATTTATGTTCCTTTGATATAAGAAACTTTGCAGTGGTGCTTGTTGAGGGAGGAAGCTTTCTTTTTCCCCAGGTGAGTTACATTCTTCTGTTCCCCTGTTTTAAATGTTAAGCATCACTTTGGTATACTGAGGAGAAACTGGTTGCAAGACTTAAGACTTCTATGTCTAGCTGGAGCCGTAGTTCCCAAAGCTAGCTTCAAAGACTTGGTTTAGATTTTTGTGTTTCCCATTCAGTAGGAGAGGATGTGAAAATAGGATCATGAGAAAAGGAGGCAGGGTTCGTCAGGATCTGAAGGAAGAAAGAACAAATAGACAGAATGAAAAGGCATTGCTAAAAATTCAAGAGAAATTAAAGTTAACCTCTTGATGCTGTTTTCTTTCTTTGCCAAGTTCATTTTTGGTGCTGTCTGTGCCCAACAACTTTTTCAGACAGCTTTACATAAAGTAGTACCTGGTGTTTGCATGTCAAGAGAAGTAATTGATTAATTACTTAACAGAATCTCCTTTTTTATTTTTATTCAAAGATAAAGGAAATCAGCTGGGGAGATGTTGGAGGCTGGACTGGTCAAGGAGGATCAATTCTTGGTACAAAACGGTAACGTCAATATTTTGCCAATTGATATGATAATTTCTGATATTTTATATAACCATTGTATGACTCCATGTTCTTTTTCTTCCAGAGAATGTTTTAAGTCCTCAATTTATTTTTTTTTTTAATTGTTACTTTCCAACTTGAGTACCTTTACCTTTTCCTAATACTCTACCAGTTCTTACGGGAGAATGAAAATGGGAGTTGGGACCTCAACTTGAAAATTTCTTGGGGGCTTTGCACTTAAAAAGATCAAGCCTGTAGTTTCTTTACAGTTGGCATGGCTCCTTACTAATTGTGAGGAAGAATTATTTGTATGGATAAATACGGAAAACAAAATATATTGCATTGCCTGCTGAGTTTACTGTTTCAGCTTAGTAATTAGTTCTTATTGCTGCAGAGTCTGTAAATAATTTTTATTTTTCTTTTGGTTTAATAATTTTTAGTACTCTTCCTGCAAAGTATTTGGAGAAGATTGCTGACCAGATGCGCACAAACAACATTAATGCCCTTATGGTTATTGGTGGATTTGAGGTACACTGAAATGTCTAATTATGTCTGAGCAGAGTAGAAGTACTAACAAAAGGAATAGACCGTTTTAATTTTTACCCAATCTTCATGTAAAGTGCATTTGTTTATAACTGTATTTGATACACAACACAAACAATGTTTAGAATCAGAAGTATTGTCAATCACTGATTCTGTGGAAAGCTGACTTTCAAGACAGTGACCAGTAACTGCAAAACAGGATGTGCTAAATGGATAAATAAGGTAAGATAGCATGATAGTATTTTTATATTTAACAAAAAATAATTAATGACTTCAGTAGTCCGAGTTTCAGTCTATGCTGTATCAATACTGAGAACATACTTCGAGAAGTTCCTGACCTTTATTAGTAATTGCATTGTGGTCTCTTATTTAAGCCAGTCTTTGTCACATAGTGCATTTCAAAATCTGAAATTGATCTAGAGAAGTATTCTCCTTCTTTTCCTGTGTTTCCTGTTCATTTTGTTTTACCAAAATAATAAATTTTTGAGATCTTGATTCAGGATAGTATTTTGCCTGCTCTTCCCAGAGAAGAACTTGTTTATCACTTTGTGATAAGGAATGAATCATCCATTTTCTCCAAGCTGTTAAGCCTGGCCCTAGTTCAGGAATATTAAGATTTTAAATGAGGACTAACGGTACCTGAAGATTGGGGAACAGGCCTGCAGTATGTTTGTGTTGTGCAAAGCACTTATTGTGTCTAAATAATATATTCCCTTGAAAATGAATGTTCTATTTATTGTTTGTTTTCAAATGCATTCCTGGTTTTAATTCTTTCTTTTTTTGTGTATGTGTGTTAGATTTTAGAGTTTCCTTAATGCTTCGACTTACTGGTATGCTGTGGTAGAAGTGGCTCCCCCTGTGGCCCTTTCCGTTTTGTCACTCCAACTTTGCCCTTATTTTATTCATCCTAATTTTTCACCCAATGCCTGTGCCCAACAGGCGTACCTTGGACTTCTGGAATTGTCAGCTGCCCGAGAGAAATATGACGAATTCTGTGTTCCGATGGTTATGGTTCCTGCAACTGTATCCAACAATGTACCGGGTTCAGATTTCAGCATTGGTGCAGATACTGCTCTGAACACTATAACTGATGTAAGTCTGTTCAGGTGTGTGCGCTTACTAACAAAGCCATTCTGGCTAAAACTGACTAAATTGGTTGGAACTGGATATTTTTATAGACCAGAACTTTGGAAATGTAATCTGGAAAATGGTACAGTTACTTGATATAGCCGTGGTCATGATACCTATTTAAAAAAGAGAAGGTTCAGGATCCCAAATGATTCCATTAGGTTTCCTCTGAAACTACAATGACCTGTAAATTTGTAAACTACAAAATAAAATGACATATATCTATTGTATATGGAAGAAAGAAACGTAAAGCTAAGACTTGATGATATTTGAGGCACTGTCAAGGAAAAAAAAATCCCTATTATATGTAAAATATCACTCTATTTAATATCTTTATTTCTCTAATAGAGAATGTAAGATCCATATTTCTCTAATAATGGGGATTACATGTATTCTACTAATAAAGATATTGAACAAAAAAGAGTTGAGACATATTATGAAGTATTTTTAAAATAAATCAAATCCAGTAATATGGTGTAAATTAAAAATGGATTAATACTAAACTCAGTTGGATAAAAAGGGCGTTGTCAAACACCACACAAATGAAATTGTCAGGCATGTGCATTTACAGTTCTTCTGAATCACTCAAGCATTAATCCATCATAGCTCTACTAAGAGGAGTAGTTCTATTTCAGTATATTCTGATATAATTTTGTCTGTGAAACAATAACAGTAACATTATGCTTCCTTCAGTTTTTGGTTTTTTCCTTTTCAGCATAATCTGCAGAGACATAAGTATTGCAGATACAGTTGCAGGGTGTCCATAGTTTAAAACTCAGCAAAGACCTAATAAAGCATTTGTCTTGAAAATTGAGTTTACATTTTCACTTATAAAAAAGAAACAGAATTATTTCATAACTTGCTTACTGAATTGCAGTGAATTACCATATTATAGTACAAGTTCCATTTTCTGATTTTTGTCTCCAGCCATGTTGGAGCCAGAATGTAGAATTTTTTCACTGATTTTACATATTGAGCTACATTTTAAAAAGTGAAAAATAATGAGCATGGCACTCGTGTAAAGAAGGAAAATAATTTGAAGTTGCTTTTGAAAATCAAATGTCAGTTCTTCTATCATTTAGATGTGTTTGAAGATTTTAATCATGATATGATTTTCAGAAATTCAAAGGATTCCTCAAATGCTATCAACTTTAAGAGTACTAACAGAATTTTTACCTGTGGGGTTTTTTTTTGTTTGGTTGGTTTTTGGGGTTTTTTTTACCATGCTGGCATAAATATTTCTATCTTCAGCAAAATAAACTTCAGTTGGGAAATTTCAGTTTCCTTAACTATTACCTTGAACAAGATTGCAAGCCAACTAAAATTTATCTTGAATGTATTCTTTATTAGACAACTTAGGTTATAAATATTGATGTTTCCAGTTCTGGTACATAAAAATATCTCTCCAAAATAATTGATCACAAATTCAGGTGAGTAAAATGATTGCGCGTAACACCTGCTTTTCTGCTTTTCTTTTCTTCTTAAGCTTTGTTTACCTAACTGGCTTCTTTTTATAGGTTGTTTCATATAGAGTGGGATATATCATAGTCAGTCAGTCTCTCTCTTCTTGTTGTGTTTTGCTTTATGCTAGGTTTCTAGATATCATCCACCTTCATTAGATAATAGAATGTCAGTATCTCCATATTTTCAATGCAGTTGTTGAAAACTTTTCAAACTGATTTTTTTTTACTGCTAGCTTTTTTCTTGTTTGTGAATGTTACTTGTTTTTCTCAGAAATTAATATTAAATGTATCGGCTTTGCAAGATTTAGATTCTATCCAATGGAAAGTTAGGTTTTCTTCTTTTTTGGGGAGGAAAGGAGCAGACTTTTGTGTTGAGGAAACATTTCTGCTTGGTATCTTTTCAGTTTTTTGCTCTGATTGTTTGAACATGATATACTAAAACTGATAACAAAAAATGTATCCTTTCATTCCTGTGTTGTGTGTTCAGATCAAGTTCAACAGTGACGATGGCCCCTATTAAAAGTGGCCGATAAACTCAATACAAGTCATACAATTGACTGTGATAAACTAAAGTAGGAAATGGACGTGAACGTCCATTATATCTAGTTTATAGAATTTTCATTCTTGTTGCCACTATTAGGTGCATAAACGCATCATAGTTTTCAGTGCTGTGAGATTAGTGCCTCTTACGCACACCAAAATGTCATCACACTTAGTTTTTCTGTGGTACTGTTCTTCTGTGTTCTTGACAACTTTTAGTAAGGTAAGTACATTTCTGTTGGGTAACGAGGCCTTGTTAGTGTTTGGCATTATTAGACACTTGTCATTGTTAGGTTGTCTGAAATTTGTCAAGGCATGTAAATGGTACCTTGAGACATTTGCAGGTAAAATGTGTTAAGATGCTGCCTCTGAAAAGAAAAACAGTAACAACCAGGCCAACAGATACATAATATCTGAATGAGAGATTAGGCAAGAGTGTGCTTTTCCTGAGTCATAGATAGTGGATGGTACATTTCTCAATAATCAGAATTTAGATTTTATGGCAGATTCTATGACCTTCTTGGAATGCTCCAGTATTTCCATTTTGGTTTTAAAACACAGGTGCGTAGTCAACTGAATAGTAGAATTTGGTTCATCTTTTGACAAGTGTTTCAAATTTATTTTATCCTATATTTTTCACTTCAGTTTTCAGAATATTATTGAGAACAATTGTCAGTGAAAACTCTACAATATAAAATACATGGGGAAAGCTGAAGGTTTTTGTACCTGAAAAAAGTATGTTTAGGGCTTGTGTATCTAGATAGACAAAATGAATTGTTTAAGATTGCAGGATAAGAACATGAACTTTGACTTTTCTGTGGAAAGAAGCATCAGTAAAATAACTACCATAATAAAAATACCTGTATTCTCAACTTGATGTTGCTAATCCAGTGAAATAAATAGAATATTATTTCAGATAGCAGACCTCTGGAATCTGACAACAAAGAAGTGTTAATTTTTCTCCTACATAATCATGAAGGGTAGAAATTTCTTCTAAATAAAAGTTAGATTACTTAATATTGATCAGAAAGAGGCATTAGCAATACATTTTGCAGGTGGAACTAAAAAAGGAGAAACCTACTCTGTAATTAGGCAGAATGAGTAAAAAGTTAGCTACAGAACATGGAAAGAGAAAGGAAAGGATGAAAATTTAATTTGAAAACAAGACCTACTAATTGGCTAGAGGAAACTAATGGAAAGAGGAATAAACCAGAACAAGATACAGAAGATTATTCTTTTGATTTAGGAGACGTAGAAGTAAATCTTTCCCTGAAGCTCATCTTTCCACAAAGATGATCTGAAGGCTGGAGCACCTCTCCTGTGAAGACAGGCTGAGAGAGCTGAGGTTGTTCACCCTGGAGAAAAGAAGGCTCTGGAGTGATCTTATTGCAGCCTTCCAGTATCTGAAGAAAGCTGGAGAGGGGCTCTTTACAAGGGCATGTAATTATAGGACAAGGGGCAATGGCTTTAACTGAAAGAGGGCACATTTAGATTACATATAAGGAAGAAATTTTTAACAACGAGGGTGGTGAAACACTGGCACAGGTTGCCCAGAGGAGTTGTGGATGCCTCATCCCTCAAAGTGTTCAAGGCCAGGTTGGATGAGGCTTTGAGCAACCTGATGTAGTGGAAGGTGTCCCTGCCTGTGGCAGAGGGGGTGGAACTAGATGATCTTTTAAAGTCCTTCCCAACCCAAACCATTCTATGATTCTAGGAAATGGGGAGATGAAAAGAAAAGGTATCAACTAGAGATGGAGAAAATTGGAACCTGAAAACTGAAGATGCTGAAACTCTCTAATGTGTTTCTTTGAGAATCTGCCTTTTCCTTTCATCAAACAGAAGGAGATACAGGTTGATCATTTGGTTTTGTGAGAAAAAGAAGAGCAAACAGCCACAAGAAGTCTCTTTCTCACTGAGGAGCAAATAAAGCTACAGTTAGATTGCCTTAATGCAGTCTCCATGCAGTTTTCTTGAAAAACACAGACTCCTGTACCCTTGCAGTGCTGGTACTAGCATGTGTGGCTCCATATTAGTCTGAGCTAGGAAGCTGAAAATCAGTCTGGCCAAGATAGCTAACCAATTAAATTGTCATCCAGTTCACTCCTAGCAACAACTGGATGTGTATCATCTAGGGCAGTAAATCCATCCTTTTCGATGGCCAGTTGCATTTAGACCATCAAGTCAACAAACCACAGTCTTTGCTTGACTGCCAGTATTTTTATAAAGCATCCTTGGTTATGACAATATGCTTTTTAAGAACACAAATATAATAAAAGAGTATGAAATGATTAAACCGTTTTATTGACGTGGTACAGTATACCTTTATGATCTTACTGTGGTTACTTATTTTAAAAAAGGCCTGTGAAGTGATTATTGAAACCACCAATCACTTGTTTACCCTTTATAATTATCAAGTGACCCTTTACTGAAAGCATTTTCATATTTCACTGCAGTGATGTGAAGATGTTGCATATAATCATCTAATGCTTATGCTTGGTGAAGGTACAGTCTTTGGATATGTTTGCTGAAATCACTTGCATCAAATAAAATGGCAATATTTAATGCAAGGAAAACATATCTTAACTGCATTTTAACATATCATAAATGCAGACTAACCAATTATGTTAGTTTTTACTCTAAATCTCCCTTCAACTTGGTTTCCCAAAAGTTTCAATAGAAAACTTTTAGGAGAAACTCATGTTTTGCAGGTCTCTGGGAAGCCATGTGGTTTTTTTTACCAAACCACTGCGACTCAGTGTACGTCTTTATTTTTCAGTAGAAGTAAAAATTCAAAGCAGCCTGACTGGGCTGAGTTGGGCTATACAGTTACTGAAGTTTTCTCAATGAGGTCTCATCCAATCCACTCAAAAAAAACCCAAACCAAAACAAAAACTTTGTTGCTCTTCTGGCTATACTGCCTCTCAGAGCTACAAGTCTCATAGTGCAGTCTTTTAGGGTGTG